TAGGATAACTGTGTGAAGTAGGTGCAATCATTATATATAGATAAGAAAGCTAAGGGTAACAGGATAAATTTGGTCCAGGTCACACAGACAGAAGGCAGGATTTGAATCCGCTTCTGACATCAAAACTGGTGCTTTTTTCATTGTAGCATGGGCTTTTGACATATTTTGATGTATTTGCCTTCTTCTCTAGCTCCTACTTAACCTCTCTGTCTCTTTGTAGGCGACCCACAGCCGAGGAAACCTTGGAGCACCCTTGGTTTAAGGTGAGTGGTGGGTGTGAAGGATACCTAGCTTCATAGAGCTAAGGGGCATAATGGAACGGGTGCTGCTCTTGGACCTGCATCGGACATTTTGTTACTAGGCAGCGCAGTACATAGAGCTTGGGGCCTGGAGCTAGGAAGACTCATCTTCATGAGTTCAAATCTGGCTTCAGACACTTACTGTGTGACTCTGGACAAGTCACTTAACCTTGTTTGCCTCAGTTTCCTCATCTGTAAAATGAGCTGGAGAAAGAAATGGCTAATCACTCCAGTATCCTTGCCATGAAAGCTCTAGATGGGGTCAATGAAGTGCCAGATACAACTAAAACAACTGAACGAAAAAAAAAAGAAATGATTCTTCAGTTCTCTCACTGAATTTCCTCATCTGCACTAGCTCTTAGTATTGCTCTGCAGTTCCTGTGGTCTGCAGCAGGGTCCTTGCTTGCAAAAGACCTAAGGAAGGGTAAGAGGAGAAAGTGATGGGCAGAAGACGCCACCCCTATTCACTATAACTTCCTTTCCTGGGTTTGTAGGCAACAGCAAAGGGTGCAGATATCAGCACTGATCACCTGAAGCTGTTCCTGTCCCGAAGGAGGTGGCAGGTGAGCTTTAATCCCTCACCCCATGCTCTGACCTACCTCTGCCCCCTTTCACGTTCCTCTCCTCCCCTTCCCTCCCCCCCTTCCCTCCACACCTCTCTTCTGTCTGTCTCTTCCCCCTTTTCTCTTCCTCACCCTCTTCTCTTTCTGTTTCTCTCTCCCTTGGCCACCCTCCTTTTTCTTGCATAGACCTCCCTAGGACTCCAGATGCAATGTCCTATCAGCAGATACCATTACTTAGGTTACCATCACACCTGGCTTCTAGAGGGGCTGATCTGGGGAAATGGGTCCCCAGGCAGGAAAGAGACTCTCAGTGCCTTAGCTCAGCCCCACGTGGGCTCTTGTGCCTTTTCTGTTCGCAACTCAGTCTTTTCTCCTTGGTAGCCCAAAGATGCTGGGGGTGCTGGAAGGATGCTGATAGACCATCGGCAGTAATCCTTCTGCGTCTTCTAACTGTCAATAGTTGCTACTCCTCTGCCTAGCCTTGGGGTGAATGGCCCCTTTATTTTTCATTAAGAATCCAGAAGTTGGAGTTTTCAGTAGGACTTGGGAACACACTTTTTTTAAACTAACATTTAAGGGGGAAACGGTAAATGAATCTAAGTTTAAAGAGTGCTGGAATCTTCTCCTAATCTAATTTTAGAGGGCAGCACCAGCTTCCTGGGCTAATCATCTCTGCCCCTAACGAGCATCTAGGCCTGGCCTCACTGCATGGCTAGCTGCCATCTTGCCTCTGGAGAAAACCCCATGTGTGAGGCTCTTCCAGCTGTGCCTCCAACCAAATTCCAGCTTGCTTTTGCTTCAAAGCTCATGCCCCTTCTGGGCCCCCCTGCCAACTTTTGGGCTGTGTTCTGGAACCATCAGTCCTCTATATTAGCAAATCTTTGCCAATTTCCCAAACTGTGTGCCACAGCGTCCATGAGAAAATGCCTGTGCTAGCAGAAGCTGGAGAGAGGAAGGGAAGAGGGGGTGGGGATTGGGGCAGCCACCTGGGAATGCAAATACATCTACGGTAGATGTGAGAGCAGCCACCAGGTAGGCCTTCTCCGTCCTGCCCTAGGTGTAAGAGAGACACTGCTCACCATGCCAAAGCTATGTTCCTATTCTCATAAAACACACACACACACACACACACACACACACACACACTTATCATCATCATCATCTTTGCATGAATATATATTTGAATATATGAATATATAAATACATTTATTGCTTTAAGGTTTGTTTTACATATATCATTTTGATCCCCATTGTAACCCTAGAAGGTAGGTGCTATTATTATCCCCATTTTACAGATAAGGAAACTGAAGCAGAAAGATATTAAGTGACTTACCTAAGGTCACACAACTAGTAAGTGTCTGAGGTATGATTTGAACTCAGGTCTTCCTGACTCTGAGTTCATCTCTCTGTCCACTATACTACCTACCTGTCTCATCATTTCATCCCTCTCCCACTTGGTATCTCTCCTCATATTCTCATTGGTTCTTTTTGCATCATGTACACACACACACACACACACACACACACACACACACACACGCCCTCACTCATACCCTAAGTCTGACACATACACATATGCACCCCACTATCCTGGCCTTATAAGGTATTTGCCTTAGTTATGGGCCCTTCTATGGCAGCCTTCTGGCTTTTGTTACTGCTGCAAGGGGATTGACTCAGGCATCCCTTCTTGCTACATCCATATTATTCTCTCACCCTTGGATCCAGAAAACAGGCCCCTAACCTGGTGGTCTCAGCCTGCACGTCTCCCTACTTATCCCTGATTCTGTTTCCCCCTTTCTTTTATTACTGCTACCATCCCTGGCTCCAGCATCCACACCCTCTTTCCCTTCTTAAACCTGCCCCCATGCACTCTATACCCCAAGGGGAAGAAGGCAGCATATAGATACAAGAATAGGGTGCAGGTAATTGAAAGTATGAATACAGGAATCCTTTTAACTCTGGCCTCCACCTGAATGTTAAGTCATGAGTCACTAGGCCTGGAGCCCACGCCCTACCTGGTATGCCACTCACACTCTGACCTAACGGAGAATGTTATCTCTTGAACCAGAACCCTCCTCCATTTTCCAGTCTGGGTCCCATTCTCAGCCAATGGGCAGGCTTTCCACTTAATCACTATCTAAGTGACCATCTACGTAACCCTACCAGAGCCCAGTCTAATTAGGTAGATGACATGTCCCAGCACCAAAGGACCATTTTGGACAGGCAGTACCCAATCCCAAAGGAGTGTGGAGAGAAACCCTCTTTTTGTCACGTCCCCTCATGGTGGCTGTGATGAACACACCTCATCATGTACGTCCTCTGACTCGAGTCCTGGGCTGTTCTGTCTCCTTTCTTAAGCTTAGGTATGAGTCTGTTGTTAAGGGTGGTTCTTGCCCTGTTCTAACTATTGTCTAGCCTTGGCAGCTAGGGGCCTGGAGTCAGGAAGACCTGATACTTACTAACTGGTGACCCTGGGCAAGTCACTTAATCTCTGACTCAGTTTCTGTAAAATGGGAGTCATAATAGCACCCACTTCCTAGGGTTATTGTGAGGATCAAATGAGTTAATATTTGTAAAACTCTTGGCACAGTGCCTGGCATATAATAAGCGTTATATAAATGTTAGCTATTATTAGTTGTAGGAGTAGGCAGGCCCCATGGCCCACAACGGCCGTGCTGGTATCCCTGGCCTGATCTGAGCAAGACCATTTTCTGCCAGAAACCCCTAAAAAGAGTTAGACCTGGGAGGGAACTTTTGAGGTCATTTGGTCCATTTTATACATGAGGACACTGAGGTGCAGAGATGTCTCCCTCAAGGTCACATCGGTTCTGAGTAGCAGAATTAGGAGTCAAACCCAGGTCCCCTGGCTTTAAATTTATTGCTTTTCCCACTGTACCACCCTGTATCACCAAAAGCAATGTCCCTGGTTGCCCCTCCCCTCAAATTCCACTGCCAGGGCACCAGCATTAGCTCATTTGTGGAGCTGGGATGACAGCCAGGTTTTGAGCCCAACCAACAGTTACCAGCTTTACCTCTGTCGCAGGTTCCTTTTTGATGCTATCCTCCAGTATCTTTAGGGTAGCCCTTCTACCCACAATACCAGCTTATCATTTTTTGAGTGTCACAAACACTTTAAATATATAGTAATAATATGGACTTTTTACTAGCAATAAGAAAAGGGTCATTCTGTCATACCTTCTCTGTCCTTTCCCCTCTTTTCTCTCTCTCTCTCTCTCTGTCTCTGTGTCTCTCTTTTTCTCTCTGTCTCTGTTTCTGTTTCTCTGTCTCTTTGTCTGCCTCTCTGTTTTTTTCTCTCTCTGTCTTTCTCTCTGTATCTCTCTCTGTGTCTCTCTTCCTGTTTCTGTCTGTCTCTGTCTCTCTGTCTGTCTCTGCTTCTCTTTTTCTCTCTGTCTGTCTCTGCCTCTCTTTTTCTCTCTGTCTCTTTCTGTCTCTCTCTCTGTCTCTATCTTCCTCTCTCTGTCTCTGCTTTAGTCTCTCTGTCTTTATCTGTCCCTCTGTGTCTGTCTCTCTCACCTTTGCCGCTGCCTCTTATATCCCTATTTCCTCTTCTCTCCTCTTCCCTTCCCCATCCTACCCTGGGTGACAAGTTGGAAACAGGGCCCATGTGGGGTGGATCCCACTGTCTCTGCAGCAGCCTCTTCCTGCCTGTCCTCCCCCTCCCCCCATTCCTCCCACCCTCCCTGACTCCCATGTTCCCTTCTTCCCAGCGTTCCCAGATCAGCTACAAGTGCCATCTGGTGCTGCGCCCGATCCCAGAATTGCTGCGGGCTCCCCCTGAGCGGGTGTGGGTGGCAGTGCCTCGGCGCCCACCCCCAGGGGGTCTTTCATCTTCCTCAGACTCAGAAGAGGAGGAACTGGAGGAATTGCCCTCCGTGCCTCGGCCGCTGCTGCCCGAGTTCTCTGGCTCACGAGTCTCTCTCACTGACATCCCCACTGAGGATGATGCCCCTGGGGCTCCTGACGCTAGGGATTCCACCCCCATGGACTGGCAGGATCAGGGTGGGCCCCCCGCAGGAGACGGTAGTGCTCCCGGCTCTCAGGCTCTCCCCACCCCAGGCCCCCAGCCCCCAGAGGTGGCTGCTCCCCGCCGGGGGGAGCTTCGTAGGGGTAGCTCAGCAGAGAGCGCCTTGCCCGGGGCAGGGCTGCGGGAGCCGGGACGGGGGCTGCAGAAGGCAGCCTCAGTAGACCTGCCCCAGCGCCGCAGCCCTAGCCCGGGGGCTGCCCACCTGGCGAGGGGGGGCCTGGGCGAGGGAGAGTATGCCCAGAGGCTCCAGGCCCTGCGACAGAGGCTCCTTCGGGTGGGTCCTGAAGATGGCAAGGTTAGCGGCCTCAGGGGACCTCTGCTAGAGAGCCTGGGGGGTGGAGGAAGGGCCCGTGATCCCCGGATGGCACGGGCTGCCTCCAGTGAGGCAGCCCCCCAACACCCACTGCCCCCTGAGGCCCGCAGCCTTCAGAAAAGCAGCAGTTTTTCCCAGGGAGAGGCAGAACCCAGGGGGAGGCACCGACGGGCAGGAGCCCCGCTGGAGATTCCTGTAGCCCGACTCGGGGCCCGGAGGTTACAGGAGTCACCTTCCCTGTCTGCCCTCAGTGAAGCCCAGCCTCATAGCCCCGCCAAACCCATCCCTGCCAAGCTATCTCCTACAAAACCTGTTTCCCCAGGACCCACTGAGCATCCCTTGGCTTCCTCCAGGGGCTCTCCCCGGCCAGGGCCCCCCAAGACCGCTCGAGAAGAGCAAGTGCCTAAGCCAGGACCTTCCAGGTCCTCAGAACCCCCAAAGGCAGCTGTGGTCTCCCCGGTCCCAGAGACCCCCCTCACCCCCTATGCCCAGATCATGCAATCTCTCCAACTGCCTGGTGCCCCGAAGATCATCTTGGGCCCTCCTCCCGAGCCTAAGCCCCACGCGGCTGTCTTTGCCAAGGTGGCTTCTCCACACCCCGGGAAGCAAGGGCTGGGAGTCAAGGGGCTTGCTTCTCCTTCTGGGGAGAAGACAGTGGTTCCCTCAAGGCCCACTGGCTCAGACAGGAGCTTAAGCAGCATTGAAAATCTGGACTCAGAGGAAGTGTTTGAAGCTAAATTCAAGAAAAGCCGCCAGTCTCCCCTGGCTCGGAGACTGAGGATGCTGAGTCGCTCTCAATCCGAGGAGCGGGGCCTTTCCCGGGGATTAGAGGAGGAAGATGGCATGTACAGGCCCAGCCCAGCTGGGACCCCGCTGGAGCTAGTGAAGCGACCTGAGCGGTCCCGTTCTGTGCAGGACCTTCGTGGGCCTGGGGAGCTGGGGCTGGTACGACGCCTCTCCCTGTCTCTGTCCCAGAGGCTTCGCCGGACACCCCCCTCCCAGCGTCACCCATCCTGGGGGTCTCCCCGGGCTGGGGATGGCGAGAGCTCAGAGGGGGGTGACTCAGCCAGGGGTTCCCCGGTGCTGGCTGTTCGGAGGAAGCTTAGCGCCACCCTGGAGCGACTCTCGGGCCGTCTGCACCGGAGTGGCAGCAGCGAGGAGTCAGGAGGTCGGGCTGGGGGGAGCATTCCACTGCTGGGCCAGCTGCGCCGAGCGACATCCGAGGGGGAGAGCCTGCGACGCCTCGGCCTGCCCCACAACCAGCTGTTGGCCCAAGCGGGCACAGCCACACCCTCAGCAGAGTCACTGGGTTCTGAGGCTAGCGCTACCTCAGCCTCTTCAGGTAGGCTGTTCAGAGGGCACAGAAGTTGGGGCTGGGCTCTGGGCAGTAGATGAAAGGGGCAGTGGTAAGGCCTGAGACTTGCTTAGACTCTTGGGATGGAGAGGGGGACCAAGACTGGGAATGCACTAGGGGTGCAGAGTGGGATGACAACTAGGCTGGGGAGCTGGAGGACAGTGATTGACCTGATTGACCAATCAGGAGACAAGCCTGGGCCAGAGATCCGAGCGCGCTTTTCTTAGCTCACTTAGCAAAGGACCAAGCCTTGGGAGCCCACTGCAACCAGTCCTGAGGCCTGGCTGCTAATGTGAGTCAGCTTCAGACAATCCCAGGACCTTTGCTTTTGCCTTAGGGCTTTCACCTTACATAAACCTTCCTTGATCTTGAGGTCTTCCTGACCTCATTTGATGCTTATGAGCCCAATGATCTGCTATGTCCCATTTCTAATTCCCTCCCCTCCTGCTCCGGCCTCTATGTAAGGGGATGTCCTAACCTGATGTCTGTAAGCTTGCTCCATGGACCTCTCTGTCCAGATTATGAGTGGGATTTCTAGGGAAAGGAGACTAAACAAATTAAAAATGCAAATGCCAGGGTGAGGAAACCAAAGAGCAAAGTCTCAGTTAGAATAGCTTACAAAGTGGTCCCTGCTAGAGATACCCAAGCAGGCCTTGCTTGGTCCATGATTCATTCCAGACTGGAGAGATATGGTCTATTCACTGTCTAGTCTGGCTCTCTCCTGACCTTGGAGGATGCTGGCTTCTTCCACCCCAGAAAAGCACCTTCCCTCCACCCCCATCCCCTTCCTTGATGAATTGGGAATGGCCCACCTGAGTATTCTGGTACATTCTACCATCCTGAGATCACTTTCCATCACCAAGTCTTCTGGTTGCATGGGATTTGTGGACGTTCCAAATGCTCATGTTTCTTCTACCTCATCACTGATTATTCCAACCCGGACTTCTCTCCTCCCTCCCCCATGCCCAAAACAAGGAAATAGAGAACCAGGTACACAAGTCTCCTAAAAACAGAATACACTATAACCCTGAAAATACACAAGGGGAAGGTGGTCTGTCCCAGGCCTTGGGGAATAATGAAGTGTCTCAAGGGCTGAAAGAATCTAAGACTGAGGCATGAGGTGAGGGGGAGTCGGGGAATAGAATGGAAAGAAAGAGTCTAGAACACTGGGAGAAGGCTGTAAGACAGGAAGGAGGCAGTTTTTTCCCATCTGTAACCTTCCCTATGCTGGGGCATCTGCAAAGTCAGAATAGAAGGACAGGCTAGGGCCAGGGCCAGGTGGGCCAGTGCCAATGAGTTAGGGTTTCTGCAGGTCCTGGGGAAGGCCGGACTCGGTCCCGCTGGGATCGCTGGGGCCTGTCAAGGTCACGGAAGGACAAAGGGTCATCGCAGCCTAACCTCCCATCCAGTGTCCAGGAGGATTCCACTTTGGGCTACCAATATGTGCGCAGCGAGTCAGGTAAGACATCCGTGGTGCCACCAACACTTTCTCCTTGGGTATTTTCTCCTTCCTTGGTTTGGGGTGGTGGGAGGAAAGGCATTCTAGGCTCTAACTCGGATATATTGTCAGGCTATGAGGTCTTGGGGTCAGACAGTTGAACTGATTTCTTTGATATGGCATCATGGGCACCATACTTGAATTTTCCCTGGTTATTCTCCCTTGCCCAGGCCGGTTTCCAATATCTGAAGGACTTTGGGGAAGTATGCCTAACTGAGAGAGAACCTAACCCTCTGATTTTCCAGGTCCTTAAGACATTCCTTCTGTCTCCACATAGCCCTAGGGCCCCCATTCCTATTCTTTTTTTACTGCCCTGCTACAATTCCTAGTGCTCCTATTTCACATTCCGGCCCTCCTCACTCTTGCCCTAGGCAGTGGAATCATCAAGGGACCTTTCGGATCATCTACTCCAAATTCCTCATTTTACAGATGAGGAAACTGAGGACCACAGCAGGGACGTGACCTACTCAAGCTGTGATATAATTCTTCTGTGTTAGTAGCAAAGTCAGGATAGAACCTGGGTCTTGCTTGCTTACCTTATCACCCAGGGTTGGCCTTTAGAAAAACCTGCTTTTCCATTCTCCTGTCCCTTTCCTTATTTCCCTCCACCCCACATCCTTTACTTGTCTCCTCCCGGCCTTTCTGCCAGCCAGATCTTTTGTTTGTACTCCCCAATTCTCATTATCACAGCATTCAGGCCACCCTGGGTATTTGTCTTTAAAAGAGGGAGAGGGTAGTGCTTAATCTAAAAGAATGAGTCTCTATTTGTAGAATCTCAGCACGGAGGTTGGGAGGGGGAGGTGGAAGGAGATATTTTTGGGTGGTGAGCTTTTCCAGCCGTTCTCAAATCACATGACGAGGTGACCACCCAGCCTGCTCGCTCAGTTTCTAATCTTCCATTTTCTCATTTGTCATTCCATAGGCTGATGGGACAAAATAGATCCCTGGCCAGAATGGCTTCCCCTTCTGAACGCTGGGGGCTTCTTTTACCCCACTTTTCTCCCCCTCCAAAGTGCTTGGTGCTACTGCTGCCTCTAGTACAAAGTTCCCCAAATGAGCACCCAACTGCTTTCTCCACAACTTGTTAGAGACAGAGGTTAGGGTTGGGGGTTGGGGAGGGGGGGAAGGATGTGACTGGCAATTAAGAGAAAGAAAATATGAACTAAACTTACAGAAAATAGGCCGTTTGTCCTGATACGCCCAGAACTTCGGTATAAACGAGCAGCTTTCCTGGCAGACTAGCTCATTCTCAAGAGTCTGAGGCTGGCCAGGCATTGTGACAACCTTGGGATCAGGGAGTTTAGAACTAAGAAGAATTGCCAAAAGCTGAGAGTCTGATCACCTCCTTTTACAGAACAGAAAACATGTTCGGAGAGGTTTTAAGTGACTTGCTTGAAGTCATGCAGGTAGTGAGAAGCAAAGCTAGCTGTGGAATCCAGGTCTTTTGACTCCAGACTTCACTCTGCCTGATGCAGCTAGTGGGTAGATCTGGGTTTCGAGTCAGGAAGACCTGAGTTCAAATGTGGCCTCCTACATTTACCAGCTATGTGACCCTGGACGAATCAATTAACCTCTCTCTGTCTGCCTTGGTTTTCTCAATGGTATAAAGGGGATAGATAATAACAGCACCCACCTCCCAGAGTTGTCGTGAGAATGAAATGGGATAATATTTGGAAAGTGTATAGCACAGTGCCTGGCACATAGTAGGTGCCTAATAGATGCTGGTTTCCCCCTCCCACCTCCCTGTTCTTCTTTGTTTCCAAGCTGGTGCGTTTTCTAGCCCCTTCCTATTTGCATGGCCAGGCTAGGCTAGCACCAGCTGGGTCCAATTAAACTTCCATAATGGTGGTCCCAGCCTGGCTGTTGGCTCTGCTTCCTTAGAGTAAGGGGGAAGGTTGGATTCATACCAGCCACGTACTCCCTCTCATCCCATGGAATTATTCCTCCCTGCCATCAATCAAGAGTGATCTTTCTCTTCTACGAATATTCACAGCATGAGTGCCTCTCATGTATGCTGGAACCCTACTTTGTATTCATTGTTTCTATACAGTGTGCTAAGGTACAGTGAGGGGCAGGGAGGTGACACAGTGTCTTGGAATCCTGGAGTCAGACAGGCTCATCCTCCTGAGTTCAGTTCTGGCCTTACATACTTACTAGATGTGTGACCCTGGGCAAGTCACTTAACCCTGTTTGCCTCAGTTTCCTCATCTGTAAAATGCACTGGAGAAGGAAATGGCAAACCACTCTAGTATCTTTGCCAAGAAAACCCCAAATACGATCACGAAGAGTGGGACACGACTGAAAAACAAATATGGGTAGGGGTAGTGGATAGAATGCTGGCCCTGGATTCAAGTGGACCTGACCTCAGACACTTGATATTTACTAGCTGTGTGACCCTGGGCAAGTCACTTAACCCCAAGTGACTTGGGCCCCCCTCCCAAATGTGAGGAAAATGCTGGATCTGGAGTCAGGAGAGACCTGGTTCTGATTTCTGACTTCGACATTTAATGCCTGTGTGGTCTTGGACAAATCATTTAATGTTTTTAGCCTCAGTTTTTTCATCTGCAAAATGGGGAGAATAATACCTGTTATCTACCTTACTGGGTTGCTGTAATGATCAAAGGCCTCTAGGTGGTACAGTGAATAGAACTGCTGTGGAGTCAGGAAGACCTGAGTTTCAAATGCAGCCTCAGACACTTACTAGCTTGTGTGACTATGGACAAGTCACTTAACTTCTTTGCCTTAGTTTCCTCCTCTGTAAAATGAGGATAACAATATTAGTTACCTCCCAGCTTTATTTTAAGGATTAAATATTAGTGAAATACTTAGCATGGTCCCTGCACATAGTAGGTGCTCTAGAAATGATAGCTATTATTATTATTATTATTATTTTGCCTTTTTGGTGAGGCAGTCGGGGTTAAGTGACTTGCCCAAGGTCACACAGGTAGTAAGTGTCATGTGTCTGAGGACGGATTTGAACTCAGGTCTTCCTGACTCCAAGGCTAGAGCTTGTCCACTGCACCACCTAGCTGCCCCTGCTATTATTATTATTTGTGCTGCTGTCATTATTATTAAGAATTTGAATCTTGCTTCAGACACTTACTAGCTGTGTGTGACACTGGGCAAGTTACTTAATCTCCCTCAGCCTCAGTTTGCTTATTGGTAAAATGGACATCATAATAATACCTACTTCAATAATAACAGCGCCTCCTTCACATCTTTGTTGTAAGCAGCAAATGAGATCAAATATATATAGAATACTTTGCAAACCTTATGGTATATAAGTGCTAGGTATTATTATCAAATGGTGCTTAAAATTCTGCAGTCATCGGCACATGCCTTATTCCATCCACTACAGGGGAAGCTTTGTGAGGTCAGGGCTCTTGTCTAATCCATTGGGCAGTCCCCATAGCACCATGCTCAAAGAAGGCTCCCAATGCTCAGAGCCTCTCCTCACAACAAGAACACATTCGCTAGCATTTCCTCAGGCTAATGCTATACTTTTTCTGATTCTCCCTTTAGACTTTCCTCCTGTCTTTCATATCAAGCTGAAGGACCAGGTGCTGCTGGAGGGTGAGGCAGCCACCCTCCTGTGCCTCCCAGCAGCCTGCCCCGCACCCCACATATCCTGGACAAAAGGTAGCAGTGCATCTCTTCTCCTCCTGCCACCCCCTGCCCCACCACGGCTCCCACCCTCATTCTGTGTGATCTGTATAAAAAGTAGGCTGGTGATGTCCAATCTAACCCTCACCCTGCACCTGCCCCTTAATTCAGGACAGATAGATCCTGCTTGACTGGTTCTTGGAAGACAGGACATGCCTAGCAATGAGAAAGAGGGACCAGGGTTGTCTGGGAGATCACGAGGAGATCAGAAAACATTTACGGGGTGGGGACTAGAGGATTGACATGTCCGTGGCCCTTTCTTGGCCCCTGCAGACAAACAGTCCCTTCGGTCAGAACCGTCAGTCACTATAGTATCCTGCAAAGATGGACGGCAGCTGCTGACCATCCCTCGTGCTGGGAAGAGCCATGCTGGGCTGTATGAGTGTTCCGCCCGCAATGCCTTGGGCAGTGCTACCAGCTCCTGCACGCTGGCTGTGGCCCGTGAGTACACGGGGCAGGATCAGGGTGGGAAGGCTGTTAACCTTCAGTAGGAATGGGGGCGAAGGGGTGAGAGAGGAGGAGAAGAAACGGAGGGATGGCAGAGTTGGGGTTGAAGGGCTCATGAGGTCTTCCCCCAACTAGGCCTTCCAGGCAAGCTGGCTCCCCCTGAAGTGCCCCAGAAATACCAAGATACAGCATTGGTGGTGTGGAAGCCTGGAGACAGTCGAGCACCTTGCACGTACACGTTAGAGCGACGTATTGATGGTGAGCCTTGGGGCCTAAGGGTTAGGGGAGCTCAGAGGAAGCTGCAGGGGGAAACTGAGAGGATCTGGGAGGATGGGGGTGAGGAGGAGAAGTCTCTGAGGGAGACTGCAGGGGAGGGAGAAATAAGGTTTGGGCCTTTCTTCTCCCTTTCCCCTTAGCTCCTGTCCCTAGCACACTAAACCATTCACCTCTCCCCCATTTCTTTATAGAACTCCTGGGGACCCTGTTGTGTGGGCTAGACCTCCCCCATGCTCCCATGGCCTCAGACAGCCTACCTCCCACCATTGTCCCCTCTTTGCCCCCAGGGGAATCCATATGGCACTGTGTGAGCTCAGGCATCGCTGACTGCTACTACAACGTGACCCAGCTGCCACCGGGCATGAGTGTGAGGTTTCGAGTGGCCTGCGCCAATCGAGCTGGGCAGGGCCCCTTCAGCAATGCGTCAGAGAGGGTCCTTGTTGGGAAAGCCACAGGTCAGGAGGCTAGGGGACTGGGGCCCTGGAGGGATGGATGGTGGGAATAATTTAGTATCGATGGGATGGGGACCTGGTGGTTTTAGAATCAGAGGGATTAAAATAATACCCTCCAGTCCCCTGAGCCCTCAGGACCTTGGGATCCTGTCTGCTTAGTACAGAGCTTTCTCCTTTCTGCCTTTATCACTAGAACCTCACTTCTACATGGAGTGTTCTATAGCAAATGCTTTCTCTTTTCTCTGCCCAGATACCCCAGTTTTGAAATCTACCACTCAACAAGAAATCCCTGTTACCTCAGTGCCAGCTGGAACCCCCATTCCTTCCACTCCTACCTCACCTATCTCTCCCCCAGCCCCAACCTCAGACGCCCCAACCCCAGTGTCTTCAGCCCCGGCCTCCCCAGCTGCAGCGTCTCCAGCCCCGGGCTCCCCAGTTCCAGCCACACCAGCCCCTGCCACCTTAGCTCCATCCTCTTCAGTCTCTCCAGTCCCAGTTCCTGAGCCCACGTCTACCTTGGCTCTAGCCTCCCCACAGTCTTTTCCTCCAGCCCCAGCCTCCCCATCTCTCCCAGTGCCCCTCAACCAGGTCCAGTCTCACCTCAAGGCTGTTGGCCCACCTCCCCCAACTCCTCCGAGAAAGCACAGGGGTGTGCTGGCTGCACGGCAAGCATCCCTCAGTGATCAACCCCCGCCTAGCAGGCCTGAGTCTCTTGCCTCCAACACAAAAGCCCCATCCCCTAGCACCCCAGAGAGTAAACCAACCTCCTCCCCAGCCCCTATGTATATGGTGACTTCTTTTGTGTCAGAACCCACTGTCCCTGAGCCCCAAGCCCCTGATCCTACCCCCAGCCCCACTAAGGTGATCGTGAGCAGCCTTAGCCCAGCCAAGGACAGGGTCAGCTCTCCAGGAAGTGGACCCCCCAGCTCTCCTGGCCCTGAGGGCACCACACTTCGTCAGGGACCTCCCCAGAAACCCTACACCTTCCTGGAGGAAAAGGCCAGGTAAGTCCAAAAAAAGGATGAGGAGGAGGGTATATGTACCCAGGTGGCATCTTTCTTGGTATCTTAAGTGCTCTGCACCTGTCTCAAACATAATAAACACTTAATAAATGCTTGTTGGCTGGGGGGAGGGTTATGGTAGAGCTGGGAGTAGGGAGATTGATGCAGAATCCTGATGTTCAAACCCAGATGTAGGGTGGGACATGGATGCCAAAACACCTTTGCTCTTTCCCCAGAAGCCCCAACTCTGGCCTCCAGCCCTTATTCAGGGGTTTCTGTGTCCTTCATTTCCCCTGACCTCACCCTGTGGTTTCTTTGATCTGTGGCCCCCTTTCCCCCCACCTCTAGGGGTCGTTTTGGTGTGGTGAGGGCTTGCCGGGAGAACGCCACAGGCCGGTCATTCGTGGCTAAGATCATCCCCTATGTGGCAGAGGGGAAGCAGCGGGTGCTTCAGGAGTATGAAGTATTACGCTCTCTACACCATGAGAGGCTCATGTCCCTGCACGAGGCATACATCACCCCCCGCTACCTTGTGCTCATCGCGGAGAGCTGTGGGAACCGTGAGCTTCTCTGCGGACTCAGTGAACGGTACAATGAGTGTGGCTTTTGGCTCGCTGGCTTGGGAGAGAGAGAGAGGGAGATAATTGAGGACCCTGGCCACAGCCTGCAGTTTTTAGCATCCCATAAGGTACAGCAGGGGAGTTGGCCTCAGGAGAGCAGCTGTGACCTCCTGTGCCATCCCCCTTGTTTGTTCCCTCCAGGTTTCGGTACTCCGAGGACGATGTGGCCACGTATGCGGTCCAGCTGCTGCAGGGCCTGGAGTACCTGCACGACCACCACGTGCTGCACTTGGATATCAAGCCCGACAACTTGCTGCTCACGCATGACAACGCTCTCAAGATTGTGGACTTCGGCAGTGCCCAGCCCTACAGCCCCCAGGCCCTGCAGCCCCTGGGGCACCGCACTGGCACGCTGGAGTACATGGGTGAGGGCTGGTCAGGCTCCGAATTAGCAGATGCAAGACTCAGAGTGGCAGTCTCTGGGTATCATTCCCATTCCATTCCCAATTTGCTGCAAACAGCCATAGAAAACCATACAAGATGCATTCAGGCCTTCTCTAGAAAGCCTCAGGGAAGCAAGATAGGCTTGGGGAAGCTTAAAAGGGGTTAATTTGTTATCCAAGGGTCCCTCAAGAAATCTACTGGGCGGGGGAGGGAGTAGGTATTCCTGGGACCCCACCCCTTCTGGAGCCAGCTTTAAGCAGAAAATACTTTCTAAGCTCTAAATCCTGGAGTCAATGAGAGGTTTTTTTTTTAAAGCACTGGGCTGGCCTCTGGACCCAGATGAACTGAGCAGGGCTAAGGGTACATACAACCTGGCCAAAGGCTGAAGATAAAAAGAGTCAGAGGACCTAGTCTGACATTTGCCTCTCACTAATTCCAGTTCTAACATAGCTCTGGGAGGCACTGAGATACACCCGGTCCACCCAAGTCATAGCCTTGGGATTTCCCTGAACATAGCATGTATGGCATTCCTATGGACATCCACATCCCAGGGGGAGATGGAATGGGAAGGACATCCAGGGACTGCCATATTGGCTGTGCAGTTATCCCTTCCACATCTCAGCTTTTCCCATCATTGTTTCAATATTTTGTGAGTGGGCATAAGGAATTAAATGGGAATTTGGGGGGAGTTTTGTGGAAGCTGCAGATGACGCATGAAAGGCCAGCAGACAACACAGAAAAAGTTTAGAAACTCAGAAATGCATAAAATACATGTACAGTATTACATAATATCAATACATTTTACCTTTTAATATAATAATATAATAATTCAGACTTCTCTCGTATGAAGGGAGGGCCAAAAAATTTCATGTGGATTTTCCAGCTCGCAGGGGCATTGCACCCCTAACCCTTGTAATATGGAATGGATAACTCTTTATGTAAGCTAGAGGCAAATGACCTACCTATGTCTATGGCCCTTGATCCTCTCATTCCTTCATTTGGCAAATTAAATTCAGCAGATGTTTGTTAAGAGCCTGCTATATGCAGGGTATTGTGTAAGGTGCTTCGGGGTAGAATAAACAAGGTTCTAGTCTTCAAGTCAAGTAGGGAGAGAAGACATATAACCCTAACTATAATAGAGGAGTAGAGGGTGAGAAGAACAGAGAATTAGAGATGCTTCACTCTGAGGTTTCAGAGAAGGGGGAGAGGTCACACTGCCTTTCCCTCAACACTTGAAGAATGGGAGATGGGGAAGTAACATACTCCATGTTGGTAACAGTTCAAGTAAAGATACTCTCTAGAAACTGAGAGATGTGTTTGGAAAATGGGCTGTCTAGTTTCCCACAAATATAGGATATAGGGAGGAAGGAAACAAGTATTTATTAAGGGCTTACTATGTGCCAGGCACTATGCTAAGCACAGGAAGGAAAATTATCGGGACATAGGACTGGAAAGAAGCTCGGAGATATGAGGGATGCTCACAGTGAGGGACCAGGAAGAGAAGCAGAGATGGCAAAGACTATAGTGAAGGAATGGTCAGACAATTAGTGCCGAGTACGATGGCACAAAAGCAAAGGGAGGGGAAAGTATCCAGAAAAAGGGTGTTAAGGGTGTCCAATGCTGCAGAGATTTCAAGGGGGGTGAGGACTGGAAAGAGGCCACTGGATTTGGCCATAAGATGGTCATTGATGACTTTGAAGGGAGAAATGTCAATGGGAGAAGCAGAAAGGAAGCTTGATTACCAGGAGTTAAGGAATGAGTGGAAGGTGAAGGACGGGTGTCAAGAGTAGGTTACCCTGTTGAGATATTTAGCAGGGAAAGGGCAGAGGAAGGAAAGGTAGGTTGGAATTTGGTTGAAAAGGGTCTTGAATGCCAGCCTACAAGTTTGGACTTTATTCATCAAGTGGTAGAGGCTACTTACAATTGTAATTGTTTTGAGTGACATGGTGGGTGGGGGCTTGGGCTTCTCACAGTTACTCCCTGGCTCCAACAGGGATCCCCATGCCCAGGAGAAACATCATTGACAGGTAGCTGGGTCAACTCTGTCTCTGTCTCTTGCCAGCTCCTGAGATGGTGAAAGGTGAACCCATTGGCTCTGCTACAGACATCTGGGGTGTTGGTGTGCTCACCTACATCATGTAAGTGATCCCTATCCCGAGGAATCCATTCATGCTCCCTAGTTCTTGCCCTGGGACTACCCCACCTCCCTCCACCTAGGTAAATTCTGCTCTCACTTCAAAATCCACCTCTCAGGACCTGATGTGAGAGGGAGGGTGGTATGGTAGAGTCCTAGGCTTGGAGTCAGAAAGCTCTGGGGTTTAAATCCCAGTTCAGACACCATCTGGCTTGTGTGACTCTAGGGCAAGTCAACAATGCTGAGTCCCAGTTTCCTCATCCGGAAAATGGGAGGATAGGATTTGATGGGCTCTAAGGTCCCTTCCAGCAACAAGTCTCTGATCTTTTCCTCTCTCTACATGTTCTCTGGGATATGTTTCCCATTTCATTATCTCCTGGCAGCTCCTTCTCCAGAATTCTTCCAATATCTTGCCTCAGGGGTCAGGGTGGCAGTGGTATGCACTCCCATATACATCACAGTGTGGATCGCTCTTTCACCTCCCAATTTCTCTCCTGCCCCCAATACTGACCTTTTTGCTGTGTCTTTCCTCAGGCTTAGTGGACGCTCCCCATTTTATGAGCCAGATCCCCGGGAGACAGAGGCCCGGATTGTTGGGGGCCGCTTTGATGCCTTCCTGCTGTACCCCAATACCTCCCAGAGTGCTGCCCTCTTTTTGCGCAAGGTCCTTTCTGTCCACCCCTGGTGAGTCATGAGGCTGCCTTCTTTCTCGTTCCCTGCCTTTTCTAGTTCCCAGCCTCCTGCCTTGAATGAATTCTCCTAGCTTCTGCTGACTCTCTCCTAGCTTATCCCGATCCAAGCCGTCCTTGTTTTCTAGGAGCCGCCCTTCACTGCAGGACTGCTTGGCACACCCCTGGCTTCAGGACGCCTACCTGATGAAGCTTCGGCGCCAGACATTGACTTTTACCACCAATAGGCTGAAGGAGTTCCTTGGGGAACAGAAACGCCGACGGGCAGAGACTGCCACCCGCCATAAGGTGCTGCTACGCTCCTATCCTGGCAGCCCTTAGCCTTCTGGACCCCAGATCCCTGGCCTCCTGGACCTCAGACCCCCCAGCCTCCTGGACCCTGCACTCTGGGATTCCTGCAATCCAGCTCCTGGACTCCCCTGCCCTTGTACATGGGACATTCCAGGGGCTTATGGCAGCACTGGGGTAGGGTGGGGGAAGGCAGAGAGGCCAAAGGGGACTGGATACCACCAGCAACAGCCAGCCAGGTGGCATTACCTCATGGACCCATGGGCAACGGGAGCCCCAGGGATAGCATAAGTCCCCCCTGGGGTACAACAAGCTTCAACCAGGCTGAAGGACTGAAGGCTGGGGGAGATGAGGGAATAAAGGAAAGAGGGAATAAAGAGTCAGAAGACTGGGGCGGGGGGCGGGGCTGAAGGGGGCAGAGAGAAAGAGAAATAATAAAGGGGAAGGCTTGGAGGGAGCCCTTGGGAGAGAGATCGAGAGGAATGACGAGCAGGGTGGGGGTGAGCACCATTACTGAAGAGAAGAAAGTGCAGGAATAGGAAATGAGACAGCCAGCATCATGAGGCCGATGGGATAGGAGTGACCAGTGAAGGGATTGATGAGCCAGAAAGGGTAGGAGCAAGAGAGAGAGGGATAGGACATCAGGAGGCCAGTCAGGCGGGGGAGTGATGACGCCTAGGAAATTGGGGAGGAGGTGTTCAGTCTGTGGGTGTGGGATGGGGGGAGCTGGGCTGTAGACCCAGCGAGACTGTACATTCTAAGGCAAAGGGGTTCAAGAAAAGGATTGCCTGGAGTTTAAGAATCAGGGAGAGAAGAGGCTAGAAAGCCTGTCCTTCCTCTTCCTTCCTCTCTCTGCCTAATGGGGGGCTAGGGGGTCTTGCCCCCGTCCTCTCAGCTTGTGGCCCAAGGCTTCTTGCACTGGGCCTGAAGTGGTCCCACCACCTTCCTCCTCCCTCCCCCCAATCCTCAAAGCCTTTGCCCTCACCACCCTCATATTTATTTATTTATTGACTTTTGTGAAGTTTTCCCTTCCTCTCTCCATCCTTCACCCAACCCCTATCTCCAGTGTTGTCCTGTGCCCTGCCTATCTCTCCAGCCTCCATCTATCTGTCTGTCTGTCCCAGGGCCAATAAAAACAACAAGCACCAGGGAGACCTTTGTGTTCTGTCTGGGGACTTTCCTGGGGTGTGTGTGTGGGGGACTGCGGGGAGGTGAGTAGGGGAGGGGAAATAGGGCTCTCTTTTGCTTCCTATAGAGATGGGTTCTTTACCTGGGGTCCGTGGATGGGTCCATGGATAGATTTCAGAAGGTCTATGAATTTGGATAGGCATAAATGACCATTTATTTTCACTAACCCTTTGTTTCCTTTGTAATCCTATATATTTTACACAATTAAACACTATTTGGAGAAGGGGTTTATAGGTTTACCAGGCTGCCAAATGATTCCATGACACAAAAGTATAGGCTGGACCACTTGAGGCAGCTAGGAGATACCATAATGCACAGAGTCCTGGGCCTGGAGTCAAAAACACCTGATTTCAAATTTTACCTCAGACTCTTATTAGCTGTGTGACCCTAGGCAGGTCACTTAATCTCTGCCTCAGTTTCCTCACCTGTTAAATGAGGATAATACCACCTACCTCAGAGTGCTGTTTGAGGATCAAATGAGATATTGTTAAGGCTTAGCATGGTGCCTGGCACATAGTAGGCACTATATAAATGCTTATTTTCTTTCCCAATTCCATCTGGGAAGTCCTCTCCTCTCCAAATGACTGCCCTATTATACTATTCAGACCCTGACATTGACTCTTCATGCTTCCTTTCCCCCATCTCTGTTTTCCTTCCTAGTTTGGGATTCCTGCCTTCCTTTCCCCAGTCCCCACCATCTCTAACCAATCCTCTCCTCTCCTTTACTAGTCTTTAGATTGGTTTGGTCCTAATAAATAATACAGTCCCTGGGTTAGGTGCTTTAGGTATGACATTCCTCACCAAGTGAGATCCCAAGAAATGACTTGTCCCCTAATCACCAAGAAACCACATCGGGATGGTAGCCAAGTAGAACTTTGTAGTAGGCAGGAAACTAGGGGAATGGATACTGGAGCTATTTTGCTCAGCCCAATCTGACCTCCCTAAAGCTCTGCTGGATAGATACCTTACCTCCTCTCAGTCTTCACTTCCCTTCCAAATTCTATTCTCAACACTGAGAATAAAAGAGATAATATTTGTAAAGCACTTGGCACAGTGCCTGGAATACAGTAGGCACTCGATACTTGCTTCCGTCCTTCCTTCTTTACTTCTATTCTTCCTTCCTTCCTTTTTTCCTCCCTCACCTCTTCAGCACAGCCAGGCCCAGATCCTAACCCTGTTTATCACTGTAAACCAATCAATATTTTGAGTTTGAGTTTGCATAATTCTTGACAGTCTACAAAGCAAATTCCTTAAAATCACCCTGTGAAGTGGGGAACACAAATAAAGACCCATTTTACAGATGAGAAAACCTAGGACATTCCAAGGGCTTATGGAGGCATTGGGGTAATGTGGGAATGACAGAGGCAAGGGAGAACAAGATTTCACCAACAGCAGCCAAGCATGTAGCATTACCTCACATTCCCATGGATAATGGGAGCCCTGAGGACAGCATAAGCCCTCTCTGGATTAGGAAAAGGTTCATCGAGGCTGAGGGGCTAAAAAACTAGGTCTTAGAAAGGTTAAGTCATTTGCCATGGCTCACACAGCTAGAAACCATCTAAGCCAAGACTCAGATCCATACCAGTGCTCTTTCGACCATGCCATCTTGTTTCCCTACTGATTTCTCAAACATTGTTCCTATGTGGAGCTCTATACTAGGGACTGTATAAGACACCAAAGAAAAAGATGAAACAAGGTGGATACACATGACTGGTACATAAGAATACCTACAAGCAGGCACCTGACCAGCAGCAGCTGCACCCTATTGCTGGGAATGTTGTTGTTTGTCCTTCATTCTCAAAGAGGATCATGACATCAGGGAGGTGATGCCATGGCATGCAAGTGAATTGGATTTAAGTGAGGGAGGGCTGTGCAAAGTCACCAGCCTCACTTTCTCCTCCAGAGCCATCTGGGTCCAGTGGCCAGATATGGATCAGGACAACCTGGAGACAGCCCAGGATGTAGTGGGAGACTTTGGCCTTTGGTAAAGTCTTTCTCAATTTGACTGAGGCAATGCCCATTCAGTGATTAAGGCTAGGTAAGAAATGAGGCAGAGAATGGTCTCTTACCTAGTCAAAAAGAAAATCAATCTGCTGGGAATGTACACCAGAGCTGAAGGTCCATCTGTAGTGATAGGGCTGAATCAAGGACCATTTACCTGGGCCTGTGGGAAACTTAGGATAATTCTTCCTTTAACCACAAGTCAGCATGCTGCAGTTTTTTTCTTTCTTTTTGAAATAACCGAATCAACCTGTTAGAGCTGCAGTATCCCATGAAACCTGGCAGGGCTGAGCCCAAGGTTTATATGGGTCCTGAATAGCTGCAAGATGCCTGGAGGGATCAGTTCTGTGCCCCCATCCCTTTCTGCACCCCAGGCCTGGCTATTCTGAGCTGCTGCTCAGGCGGGCATCTTGATTCTGTCCATGGGAAGGGATCCCAGAGGCCATTTTACAGATGAGGAGATGTAGCAGAGGTTTATGGAAGCTCTTTGCCTGACCAAGAATACCCTCTAAAGTATCCTTAGCAAGCCAGCCACTACCTAAAGGCTTCTGGTGAGGGGGAACCTGCTATTTCCCCCACCAGCCCATTCCATTTTGGGATTGCTTTAATTGTTTGGAAACACTTCCTTATATCAAACCTACATTTTCAATTCTCTGCCATTTCCACACCTAGTTGCCCTCCCTGGGGGGCAAGCAGATGCAGTCTTATTCCTTCAAAATCTTAAAGAGAGCCATCATAGCCCCTCTAAGACATCTCCAGTTGAAACATCCTCGGTTACTTTTCTGCAGAACTTTCACCATCCTAGTTGACTTCTGGATGTGCCTCGGTTTGTCTAAAGTGTAGCAGCAAGCACTGAACACAGTACTCCAGAGATGATCTGACCAGGGATATGGCCCTGCCCTATTTTTCTCAATGCAATCTAGAAGGCATTAGCTTCCAGGAGAACACTGTACACAGTAACAGCCACATTGTGCAACGACTGACTTTGATAGACTTAGCTCTTTTCAGCAATGTAAGGATCTAAGACAACTCCAAAAGACTCACGATGGAAAATGCCATCCACATCCAGACAAAGAACTTTGGAGTCTGAATGCATATGGAAGCATACTATTTGCTCTCTTTTTCTTTTGTTGTTTTGTTTTGTTTCTTCTTTCTTGTGGTTCCTCCCATTAGTTCTAATTCTTCTTTACATCATGACTAATGTGAAAATACGTTTAATATAAATGTATAAGTAGAGCCCATATCAAATTACATGCCATCTTGGTGAGGGGGGAGGAGAGGGAAGGGGAGAAAATTTAAAACTCAAAATCTGATGGAAGTGAATGTTGAAAACTAAAATTAAATACATTATATACTCAAAAAAGAAAATTAAAAAAAATAGAAGGCATTAGCTTTTGACTGACACATCCCATCATTGGCTTATACTCAACTTGCAGTATGTACACACACACATTATATAGAACATATGATTGTAATATATAAATATATTGTATATAATTGTATTATATATTATAATATGCAATATTATTATATTGTATGATAATATAATGTATAATATATATCATATATACATTTTTAAATGAGCTCAGGAACTCTACATTTACTTCTATTAATTTCATCTCATTCTCTAACCCATCAAGAGATTTCTGGCTCCTAGCTTGGTCATCCAGAGCTGGACCATAACACTGACCGGTCCAACCTGGAAGTGCCCTGGAGTTTGGGGTTTGGGCTGAGTAGTGTTACAACCTGATAGCCTGATGCAGTAACACCCTCCTCTCCTACCTGTGCTTCTTCCTTAGCCTTGATGATTCTGCCCTGGGTGAAGGAGAAAAACAAAAAGAAAAACAAAAACCATCACCCGAATGGAAATGGGTTCAATGACCATTAAGAGACTCATGACTTGGAAAAGGCATTAATTGGCAATTTTCTTTCCTGCCACTAGAATCCAGCTGCTCCCCCACAAGAGTTCCCAGGCTTTCTGCCCCAGCTCAGACAAGCCCTTCTTTGAACTCTGGTGAAGAGAATTATAAACTATTAGCATTTTAGATGAAGGAAGGGATTTCATTTTCCCCTATCAGAATGGAGAGGAAAGACTCTTCCACTGCATAGTCAAACAGAGCTATAGAGTCAGAGGACCTGGGTTCAAATCCCAGTTCTAGTGATTTCTACTTATGTG